ATATATATATATATATGTGTGTGTGTGTGTGTGTGTGTATGTGTGTGTGTGTTAATTTAACCTAATTTGACAAATGAACATCACAAATTATGAAATAAGTACTTCCTTCTACTATAATTTTTTTAAGTCTAAGGCTTTTGCACACTCTTTAATGAATATTTAATATTAGTATGTTAAGTCTAAAATATCCTAATTTTGATATCTTGAAATATGTAAAATAAAAGTAGTTGTAGAGTAGGAATAATTCTTAAATAAGAGTATATGTGAGAGAAAAAAAAAGTAATTAGTATTACTTGACATGTGTAATTCATAAAAATTTTGGAACTAAAGAAAGGACCTAAAACATAAAAAAAAAAAAATGATATGAAAGAAGTAGTTTATAAGAATTTTGGATAAATTAATCCACTTTATAAGCATTAATATGATAGATTAACCCATTTGATAAATCTAATTTTGAGATAAAAGAATGCGGTAAATTAAGGGAGATGGAGAACAAAAATCAAGATTTGTGATTTTAATTAAGCTGAGAAAGTGGGGTAGGAAAAAAAAAGACTGAAATTTGAGATGTGGAAGTGGGATAGAGGGTGGAAAAAAAAGGAGAGTTTGAGTTTTGAAATAAGGGAATAAAGAGCAAAAAAAAAAATAGAGGCTAGTTAAGTTTATATTTTTTAGAATAAATTTAATTTAATGGGATTAAATGGTTAAATTCTGTTCGACATAGATGAAAAAAATGTTTAACACTAACGATATTGCTACATTTTCACACCTTTTTTCTTATGTTTATTATGATTTTTCCCCCTACTTAAATGGTTCCCTTCTGTCAAATTTTTCTGTCTATTTCAATGAAATTTTACCACCCATGTTCATTTTTTCTACTTTTTTTTGCATGATTTTTCTACTAATTTTAATTAATTTTTCTACCTTTCTTGTTGTCTTTCTTTCTACTTATTTGCACAGTTTTTTCCTTTCCTATTTTTCTCATTCGAAGAATCTTTTTCACTAATTTTACTTTCCATTTATTCGCAAGTTTTTTCACTCCTTTTCCTTTCTTCCTTATATACTTTTTCCTAATCAGTTGAATATATTATTCTTCTAAATTTTTTCTACTTATTTTTACAGTAGTTTTAGCTTATTTTTCTTGTCTAGTTGCATTAATTTTTGCACCCATTTGTGCGTGTGTAGTCATGCACATGAAATTTATTTTAATAGTGATTCTATATGCATTCCAAAATTAAATCCTTAGATTAATACTCTATCCATTTTTTTAATAGTCGTTTAAAGTTTTGCACGGGACTTAAGGAAATCATTAATATTTTAGTTTTCAAAAATATTTATTACTTACTTTCCTATTTTACCCTTTATTTTTTTTTTGCATCTTTTAGACTGTTGAACTACTTCATTAAATAGTTTTCCCTTTTTTTGTTTTTTTATAGTATTTTGTTGGGAAGATATTGTTCTTATAAATGCACATTAATTTTATACGAATAGTTGAAGAAAAATTAGGTAAACATTAAACAATAAATACACACATTGTTCAAGAAACATGTATTAATTATCAAGGGTAAAAATGAAAGAAAAAATTAATAACTCATTAATTTTAGTAATATGAAAATGAAAAAAAATAACAAACTCTGACAAAATAATTATGAAAAAAAACAGAGAGAGTATTATATTTATATTTAGTTAATACTATATTTTATATCAATGACTCTTTGGTGAAGTAAAATGATTGTTAAATTATATGTATAACAAAAATTTGAGCTAATTATCACATAACTATGAGCATAGAATAGGGGGGGAAAAAAGTCTTTAAGGGTCTTTATCTCCTTAAATTTATCCATAATTATAACCCTGTAAATATCTAAGTTTTTAAAGGACATGGCCTTAACGATAAAAAGTTTTAAATCACGAAAGGTAAGGGGGGGCACGCCGTTCGTTATCAAGTGTAAGCCAACAACCGTGCCAA